TTATCAAGAGTTGTTGTACAATACTTTGGTATCTTCAAAGTGGCTTCTAAAGAAAATAAATAGAGCTATACATGAGTGACCTATTGAATAATCATTAACTTTTCTCAATAGTTGTTGTAGGAAACACATAATAATAGACATGCATCCATTTACGAAATAGGATAGGAACAATACAAACATTACAGAGTTTATGGATAGATTAGTAGGAAAATATCAGCGGCTGCTGTAATCATGGTGGTATCTTCAAAGTGGTTTCTCAGGAAGACAGAGATACACAAGAAGGATCTAACAACTAGTTACAGCCTAAGGGTTGTCAAAAATCATACTTTTTACTTTATTTACAGGTAGTTTATACGTTGTGTCAGGAATCAGTTTAAAGGTTCTTGGAAGTGATTCAATTTTTCTCATATGTGATGGTTTAAAAAATATTTTTGGCTGGGCATAGTGGCGTGCACCTGTAATCCCAGCACTCAGGAGGCTGAGGCAGGACAATTGCCCCGAGTTTGAGGCCAGCCTGAATTACATAGTGAGACCTTGTCTCAAAAATATTAAAAAAAATTTTTAAAAAAGTTTTTGCCCAGCATGGAGTTCATGTTAACTAGTTGTAGTAGCCAGTGATTGAAAGTGGTATTCTTCAACAATGCCTGGTTCTCTATAGTCCATTTCCTATGTAAGTTAGTCAGGTGCTGTAGATTTTGATAATACCTTGGTATGTGTTTGTCAACTTTTAAACTTTTGAAATTGTAGTTATACGCATACATAAACCATGGTGTATAGAATTAGCTTTTTACCTTTACCTTTTATTTATTAATTTTTTTGATACTAGGGATTAAACCTAGGGCTTTTGCAGTGAGCTATATCCCTAGCTATTTTGTATTTTGAGACAGGATCTTACTAAATTGTCTAGTCTGGGCTGGAATTTGTAGTCCTACTTCATCTCTCTCAGAGTGATGGGATTACAGGTGTGTGCCACCATGCCTGGACTTTATATCATTTTTAAGTATATACTTCAGTGGAGTTTAGGACTTTTAAATATATCCTCTGATGTTTTTATTTTGTGTTGTCCCTTTTCAGGCTGATATACATTTAGATGGTATCATGTAGACTTTTGCTTAACTGGATGAAGTCTTTTTTTTTTTTTTTTTTTTTTTTTTGAGATAGTCTCACTATGTAGTTCAGCCTGGGCTTGAACTCAAGTGATCCTCCTGCTTCAGCCTTCCAGTTGCTGGGATTAGAAGTGTGCACTAGCACACCTGGCTACGATTCCGTTCTTGAAAGTCATGTCTGCCTCTGTTTTATACAAAATAAGAATAATCATTCTGTACTTATTAAGTTCCACCACTTGGGAAGAATTACAGACAAATGGTTAACTGGGGACCATTCCAGTAATGGAAAGACTATATAGAAACCAAGAGCCGGCTGGGCATTGTGGCACATGCCTATAACTCCAGCATTTGGAGGGATTACAAGCGAGGCAGGAGGATTGCTGTGAGTTTGAGGCCAGCCTAGTCTACATAGTGTGTTCAGGGCTTGTCAGAACTGCATAGCAAGACCCTGTCTCAAAAAAAAAAGTAGAGTTGTGTTTCAGCTAGACATAAATATGCTGCTGATGTGTGCTAAACACACAGATTGGTGAGGGCAAGTGTAGATTTATTAAGCACTTGGTAGTGAGTGCCAGACACTGTTAAACATCTGTTATCTATGCTCTTATTTTAATCTATTATTTTACTTTTTAAAAAAATGAGTTGGAAGTCAAATGTGTGGCAGTTTCCTATAGTTTGTATTATTAGGAATATTAGAACTATTCTTAATTTTAAATAGTTCATTGTATTTGGGTTGCTTACTTTACAATAACTGTCATATTCAGATTTATTATTAAAGTTCAGAACTGTTCAAATTAGGTTAAGTCTTAATTTCTCTGCTCAGTCATGCTGTCTTCTATGGCTGGGATAAAACCAAGTATACCATAATGGTGATTTAGAATTCAAAACTGGCTAAAGATAGCTATCATTGTCAGCTACTGTACCCAATTATTTTTCACATTATAACAAAATGACTAGTCTTTATTATTATTCTCTCTCTTCCTCTACCCTGTCTTATTAATGAAATTTCTGTTTCCATACTTGCTTATGAAAAAAATTGTCAGAATCATTAATAAACTTCCAAACTTTTTGAGCAGTTGAACTTGTTGAAGATCACTGAGTATGCATGGTGGACGCAGGATTCATGAAGTTCAAATCTGTCTGAATTTGGATCCAGTTGTCTTAGCATCTGTGCTTCAGTTTCCTTTGAATAAATTGTAAATGCACAGAGCAGTGAGAGATGGTATGCTGATTCCAGGAAACAGAAAAGACTTTATGAAAGTGGTAGCATTTGGAGTAGGCATAGAGAATAGATAGGGTTTTGGCAAGTTATGTAAGGGAAAAAAATATCTCAGCAAACATTCAGGGGTGAGAAGAGTATAGGAGATTTTTTTTTGTTTTTGTTTTTTGTTTTTTGTTTTTCTCCGGTACCGGGAACCGAACTCATGACCTTGCGCTTGCCAGGCAGGCGCTTTTGCCGCTGAGCTAAATCCCCAGCCCCGAGTATAGGAGATTTTTAAAAGAAATGATAGCTATTATTTATTGAGTTATTAATACATGTTGGGCTCAGTAAAGTTCATTGCTTACATTAAATTATACTCTCAGTACCACCTTCTAAGAAAAGGATCATTCTTTTACAAATAAGGAAGCAGGCTCTAAGAAGTCAAGTATTCCTAATTTGGTCAGTGTCTCGCAGTAAGTGACAGCACCAGTATTTAAACTAAGAAATCATTCTACCTTTTAATTTAGTTTCCACTATGCTAAGTGTCCAAGTATTCAGTGAGATGCCAAGGGAATAGTAGGTGGAGTGCCATCCATGTGGGGTCTTTGGAAGATTTTTCTTGTACGCTGTATATAGTAGGCCGAAGACGGCAGAGGTTGGTCCAAAAGGCCAATAAACACGGTATTATTGAGCTAGTCCTCTTGAGAGGTGAGAAGAACTTATTTTTTTCTGTCTTTTTGAGATGGGGTTTCACTATGCAGTTCAGGCTGACCTCAATCTCAAAGCAGTCCTCCTGCCTCAGCCTTCCAAATGCTGGGATTACAGGCATGAGCCACCACACCTGGCTGAGTGATAAGAAAATGAACAAACTAGTTTGAAGGCAATGCTTTGAGGGCAGTGATGGAGGAGGAATTTATGAAGTATTAGATTTGGAAGTAGGAGAGGACAGGGATGTACAGGATGAAAAATCAGGGTGAAAAATCAAAGGTGCCTGACTACATCAAATAGTTGCCTACACTTGGTTCACTTGCGTTAAAACACTTCCTTCTTTTTGTACTTGCACCACCTTTGTAGTTTTTCATTGACTTAGTGCTAAATGAATCTGTGAGGTGTGCCAGACACTGAAGCATTGGCTGGATTATTTATAATTTCCTGTCTAGTTCCCATTGCCACAATTTGTTTCTTGCCCTTCTGTATTTCATTCTCAACTCCACTGACTTGGCTGGCTGCTGATTCTTCGCTTTCCCCTGGAATGATCTTTTTTTCACCTAGCTAAATCAAGACTCCACTGAAGTCAAACTGTCAGATTGCCTTGCTTGACCTCTCTAATTTTAACCTTTCTTTTTCTCAACTTGGAAGTTACCATAACATTTTTGGTACTGGGAATTGAACTTGGGATCTTGCGATTGCCAGACAGGTGTTGTGCTGCTGAGCTATATCCCCAGCCCCTACCATTACATTTTAAAAACCTGAATTTTGTAGTCAAACCAATAAAGGATTGAGTCCTGGCTTTGCCATTTTACTCTGTGAACTTGAGCAGTTAACTTTGCTGAGGTTCACATTTTTTTTTTTCCAAATGCAGGCTGTGTGTGAGATTCTACGGCATCATGCAGTTTATTCTCAGGTGTTACTTCCTCTTCCCCCTGTAAGCAGGGTACCTAGTCTGTTAATGCTTTTGTTACTTAACCATAATGTAAACCTCAGGAGCAGAAGAAGAGACTGGCTGTCCTTTAAATGTTTTCTGTACTCAAACACTTTCTTGTTGAATGACTTAAGCTTAATTAGTATTTCCACTTGTGATTAAGAGAAATTAATAAGCTTGTAGAGTTAAAACTAAACATAGGTAAAAGTTTTTCTTCTGTACCATTTGTCATTTGAGATTGAGTATTTGTTCTTTTAGCTATTTCCTGGATTTGGAATGCAGATGTTGACAAGTTATCATTGATATGTTTTTTATTTCCTCAGCTGTTTGCTTTTATCATTTTTTTTATACATTTCAATTTCCCCATAAAGTTTTGTGAGTTCCTACAGTGATACAGCTAGGAGCTCATCCAGCCAGTAGTCATTTTGATTGCAGATAGTGAGCCAATAGGCACCTCCAAGGGTAGAATTCAGGTATCTTAGATTTCTATCCTCATGTTCTTTCTCAGTATATCATGGTGTTCATGTTTCTCATAAATTCTTTAATTACAAAAAAAGAAGTTTAAAAAGAACAATTGAAAAAAATGTTGAAGGGAACACAGTACTTTTTAGTTTCTGAAGCAATATATAGTAAAGAACTGAAAAACCTGAAAGTCTGAAACATGTTCTGTATTGATAAGATCTTTGGGGGAGATAGAAACTTTATGAATGTTACGTCTGACTTAATCCATAGATTTTTTTTTGACGTCTAAATTTACCTGTTCTTCCTTATCAGTTCATACAGATATCCAGGAAGTCAACAGATGATTTCAAGTTATGTATAGTCGGGCAATAGGTTATAGAAGTAATGACACAGACTTTTATTTTTAGGGACCAAGGTGGTCGGACATTGTGTGGTGTAATGAGGATTGGCCTGGTTGCAAAAGGCTTACTGATTAAGGATGATATGGACTTGGAACTGGTTTTAATGTGCAAAGACAAACCTACAGAGACCTTGTTAAATACAGTCAAAGATAATCTTCCTATTCAGATTCAGGTGAGTATAGTTTAACTACACCTCTAGGAGAATTTGTAAAAAGATGAAAATAAGAGGTGATCTTGATGAATTTAACAACAAGAATTGGTAATAAGGTAGGTACAAACAAAGGGAATGTCACAACTGTGGATCAGTGACTAATTCACCACATTTAAAGCACATTTGTGGTGGTTAGTACACAGGATATACTTATCAAATTAAGATGTTTATTAAGGTAGTCTTAAACTTTTCAGGTATATTTTGCTAAGTGTTCAGTTTTTTCCAGACTAGGACCCCTAGGATTATAAAATTCTTGGAAGGGTTGGTGGATGCAGAAAAGAACTGAGAGATCAAAAACAGCCTAGACAACTAAGAGACTTTTATAGGTGATGACTTTTAAAGTTGCAGACTCGGCTGATGTAACAGTCACCCTTCTGTTAATGGAAAGTCACTGTTCCTTTTCAAACTTTCTTCAATTCACATTGGGTGCATTTAGAATATTTTAACGTTGGTGTGGTTCCTGGAGCATGCTTCTGAAGGCCAGAGGCTCCCCAGGGCTGACAGCCTGCTAGTCACCTCGAGGCCTGTCGTGTTAGTCTACCCTAAGTGCCAGTTAACTACAACACCGACTGGAAGGTTGTAATCATCTTTCAGGTTCAGATGTGTGTTATTGGCAGTCTGATTAGATTACAGCTGTTTTGTGATTTCTTTTTTTTTTTTTTTTTTTATGTTTTGTGATTTCAACTCATGTCACATAAATAGATGTCCAAACTTTGAGTTGTTGAATGCTCCTGTTTCTTTTTACTTCTAAAGGAGTCTTTTTTTTTTCTTCAAATAATATGAGTACTAAATTTATTTCTGTGATACTGGTTACTGGATCATTTTCTTTTATAGTCACCAGTGTATACTTAAAATTCCCTGATACTTTTAACCTTACCCCCCGCCCCCTGCCTTATTAGTGGTACTGGGGATTGAACCTTGGACCTTAATGCTAAGCTACATCACCAGCCCCTTTTTAAGTTTTGAAACAGGTTCTTGCTAAGTTGCTAAAGCTGGTCTTAAACGTGTGATCTTCTTGCCTTATCCTGCAACTGTTAGGATTATACCGCATCCAGTTGATTTACTGTCCTTAACACTCAGGTTTGTATTACTTGTTGACCCATTCTCCTACATTCACTTCTGAGGCACTTATTGTTTTGTCTTAAATTTTAAAATACTGTACTCCAAGTGGCAAGAAATATGAAGAAATAGTGATCTTTCATGTTTCTTTCCTCCTCCTCTCCCTTCCCTTCCTCTTTCATTCATCCTTTTGTGATCCAGTGACTCCCCTGAGGAGTGACATGGAATGCAGTAATGCTTTGTAAAATGGGAGGCTCAACAATAGTGATTTGTGACTAAGTGCTTTTTAGTATAATGTTAGTAAAACTTTTCTTCCATTGTTTTTTGTATTTTTTTCTTTTAGTATTTAATCTTATTTCTGTATTTAGTGTAGTGAACATTATTTATAATATCTATAACAAAGTAATAATTCAAAAGTCAATATATTAGAGGTTCTTTAAAGCAGCTTACCCTTTTGTGTTCCCTTTTAGTGAGTCTTTTTTTCTTTTCTGAGATGAGGTTTCACTGTGCAGTTCAGGCTGGTCTTGAACTCACTTGTAGCTCAGGCTGGCCTCAAACTAGCAGTGATCCTTCTGCTTCAGCCTTAATGAGTCTTTTTTCTTAGAAGAGATCATATTTCTCATTCTCAGTTGTATCTGGATGGAAAAAAGGATTGAGAACCATCTCTCCAGCTTTGAATTCAATACATTGGGCCAGGCTTTGGTCTATACTTGGAGAGCTTTCTTTTTGTAGTTCACAACTGTGTGAACTCTACATTGTTCCTTTCCCAAGTGAGGGTCTTTTTTTTTTTTTCTGGACACCATAGTTTAAAAATATTCTTGTTGTCTATCAAGTATCCAAATGAGGACCCCAGAAGAGAGAATACATTGTGCAAACCACTTCAAATTAGAGGGGGAGCTGTTTAGGCTAGAGGGCCAGTAGAGTTCTTCAGTAATACATAATACACATTTTTGGTAAAGATACAGTGGTACCTAGGTTCATATGAACTTACCTGTTACGTGAGTCTGGGAAAGATGGCCACATTCATGTTTGTGCAAAAAACATGGCAGCAGTTGTGTTTGTCGTCTGACACACAGTTTGCAAACAAAAACAAAGTTTTGCCAAACTCTTCTAAAGAGTTCATGAATCAGTCTCATTGTACATTTTACTGAAAAATAGGGATGTTAATTGTCTACCTATCTTAGATTCAGTTATATGCATATACACACATCGCACATATGCCTTCACATGGACACACAAGCACACATTATTACTGACATTTTAGAACATTATTTTATGTGTGACTTCCACATATTCCCTTTGTCTTAGTTACTTTTCTCGTTGCTGAGACACGGCACCCAACACCCAGAGTTAAAGGTGGAAAGGTTTATTTCTGCTCACAGTTTGTAGAGGTTTCAGTCCACAGTCAGCTGGCTCAAAGCAGTGTGGCATCCAGACAAGCATCACAGCAGGAAAACAGTTCATGGTGGGCAGAAGGCAGGAAGGCAGCAAAGCAACAAAGTAGTGAGAAAGAAACAAATGACATACAGTGATAACAGCAGCCCTCTTTCTGTCTCTTATATTCTGTCAGAATACCTGCTGTTAGAGCGGGAGCACTCAAACCCAAGGTGGGGCACTCTTAATCCTAACGTTGCACCATGAATCAGTCCCAGTATCGCATCTTTAATTTCAGCATCACATACTCTAGATCCAGCCACCTCTCAAAAGCTCCACCTATGACCATATGAAGCTTTGGGGGGACATTTGGATACAAACCATAATACCCTTCCACTCTGTTTCCTTACTGTTTCTGTAGAGCAACAATCTCTGGTATGCTTTTATTTTATTATGGATTAAAAATCTTTTTCCTGAACATTTTCCATAGCAAAACTTCCAGTTATCGAAATGTCTTAATTAGTTGAAGTAAGTGCATATCTTTTCCCTCCATGATTCTAGGGTGGTGCACTTCTTTGAAGCAAAGGAGGCAGAGGATGACCTCAACCCGAAATCATTTAAAATTAGTCTAAAACTTACACTGTATTCATTACTTTAGCTATATCTTGATATGATATACATGAATAACTGAAAAATTTAGTTTGATTTATTCTCCAGTAGACATCTGCAATGATCTTTTATTGGTAAAATGAATGTGGATGATTTTCTGCTGTTTCATTATATTTTGGTTCTGGTTCTTCCATTCACTGTGTGGCCTTTCCCTTCTTTGGCTTCCTCTATTCAAAATTAGGATTATGCGTTTTCTCTTTTCCCACTTTTTGGGAAATGTTTAATGGTAAAACGCTGTTTTTGGCTGGGCATGGTCATGCACATCTGTAATCCCAGCACGTGGAAGGCTGAGGCAGGAGGATCACTGCAAGTTTGAAGCCGAGGCTACAACATGAGTTCAAGGCCAGCATGAACTGCATAGCAAAACCCTGTCTCAAAAAAAAAAAAAAAAAAAAACCCCAAAACTGTTTTTATGTAAATGTCTTTCTGTTCTTTTAATACACAGTGTTGAGTAAAGACTTAGTGTTTCCATTCAGCCTTGCTCTTTTTTGTCAGGTAATAAATACTAAATTCTGATACCAAGAAAGGCCCTGTGTGACTTACTATAACATTATATATTTAATGTATGATAAAACATTAAATATAACTTACATGATTGTGATGGGGTGATTAATTTGTGGAAGATTCCTTTTGTGTTTTAATGGTATGTTAAAAGAGGTAAAGTAAGTTTACTTGTGGCTGTCACAAAACTTGTCATGAAAGAAGTGTAGAACTTGTTTATGCTCACTTGTTTTGCTGGTATATATGCAGAGATCCCTTTTCATTTTTGCTCAGTTTGCTTTTGAAAGTTACATAAATCCTAAATTCATGAGTCCTTGGTAAGTAGGAAGTCCTTTTTAGGACCTCCTAGTTATTTATTATTTTACAGTAAACATTTCAAGAACAATAATTTACCATTTATCATATAGTGGTGGTGTTAACATTTTACTTTTAAATATGATGGTTTTAAATATTTATAATTGTTTGGGTGATTGACATTGTGATTGTTTTTTGAGGGATGGAAAAAGATTTGCTTATAAATGGGGAGGAGAGAGAAGTTAACTCTAAAGATCTAGTTATAGATTTTATTTCCTCTTTTGGCACAGTAATTCCAATAGTTAACAGCATTTGAAAAGTTAGCGAATACATTCACTTTTTGAGATTTTTCAATCTAATTGTATATTTTTGAAATTTTGGTGACTTTCAGAAACTCACAGAAGAGAAATACCAAGTGGAACAATGTGTAGATGAGGCATCTATTATAATTCGGAATACAAAAGAGCCCACGCTAACTTTGAAGGTGATACTTACTTCCCCTTTAATTAGGGACGAATTGGAGAAGAAGGATGGAGGTACACGTATATAGATACATATATATATGTATATAAATTTGGTTTGTTTTGTGCATATAAGACCTCTCTTTAAGTGCCATATTAACTGTGCTTTATGGGTTTACAGAATCACAATCTTCATTTGTTTTATGCCACCCATAGTCCTTTGAACAGCTTAGTTTTACATAATTAGTATATTAAATGTACTATTAGTATATTTTTCAAAAGTACATGATTTCAAAATACAAAATGTTAAAAACCTGTGCCTGTAATGTGGGTCTTAACTCTGCCAACTTGGTGTTCTGTTTTACTTTGTCTAGTATTGCTTTGGTATCTGTATCAACCAACTTATTCTAAGTATTTGGGTGTAATGATCAGATATTAGGATTAATCGTGGATCAAAACAATTATTTTCAAATCACTTACTTGCACATTGCATTTGTTTTGTTTTGTTTTGTTTTTTTTTTTTGGCACTGGGAATCAAACTCAGGGCCTCATGCTTGCCAGGCAGGTACTGTGCTGCTGAGCTATATCCCAGGCCTATTTATTTGACTTTTAATAACTATATTACCTTGTAAAACTTATGTTTTCCTTATCTACCTGTGTGTAGATTTTTTTTAATACTGTAAGGAATATGAATTGGGGGATTAATTTTTTCTGTGAAGTCTTCAGTAAATTTTTTGGGGTGTGTGACTTCATTAACATTTTGAATATGATACATGTGAGAATCATGTTTTAACTTTTTTCTGAAGTTAAAAAATAATTGTTATATGGTATTATCACCCTCACAAAAGCAGAGTGAGAAATGTGTTATTGGTAGTTTGGAGACATATTGTAGAGGTGTGGTGGGCTTCTTTCTCTGATCTTTTTATCTTGTCAAGTTAGTTTGTTGCTGCTTCTTAGTCCTGTCTCAGTAAACCTTGCCCTGTGATATTTTTCTTATGTCAGACTTTGACCAACTGGCCACTTTCTCATGACAATTAACAGGCACTGTGGCCTATCTGGGCCATTGGGAGATTCTCTGTTACTATTTTTCATCTCTTAAGTTCCAGCAAGTCCATTGCTGATTCTCATACCTGAAATACCACTGGTGTGGTAAGAAATATTGGTCAGTTTCATAGTTTAAGTGGGTGATATGGATAGAAAAAGGTACATATAAAGGAAGTTAGATTTTTAAATTTTTGGTAGACATTCATAGGATTCTTAAACTAAAAGTTATAGACATTATTTAAACATTATTTTGGAGGGTGAGTAAAATCAGTTGTACTATACCCAGTAGATACATTTATGGGTCATATTTTACTCCAAAGTGCATCCACCCTATAATTGAGCTTATGCCTATACTTCTTCACCTATTTGTAGCATCTGTGGTGCCCCTGAAGAATCAATCTCAAGTGGCTTAATTTTTTTTAACAGCAGAACTTTGATTTCTGATGTGTCAAGATAAATATTAATTCTGGTAAGCTGTATTCTGTTTGACCCTGTAGTATAAAACCAACCATTTTTTAAAGTAGAGTTATAATTATAGATATTAAATGTTGAGTATAAGGAGATGAGAAAAAGACTGAAATTGCCAAAACTTAGGTTAATTGTGTGTTTGCTTGAACCTGCTGGCACCCTTTCCATCACTTCTTTGAAGTTACTAAGAGAATATCAGGCTCCCTTTTCCCAGTAGTTTTGTGTACTTACATGAGATTTTTCCATAGCATTTAGTGACGCCCGTGAGCTTAGTCTGTTGCCTTAGAAACCTTAACTTCTGTTCAGAAAAGCTGAAAATGGGTTCTTAATGTATTGTACCCTTTGTGGAACATTATTTATTGTAAAATGGGATTTATAATAAAGTAGGAGAATTGTAGTATCTGCTTAAGAGGTTTCAGTTACTAAGAAGCCAAAGACGAGCTCTACGAGCTGATGTATTAGATCAGGTAAGATAAAGGAATCAGGTTAAACCTAATGTTTTACATATGTTACTTCCTCTCCTTTTGAATAGCAGAAAGATTTGCTTTGCCATTATCCTGAATATCCCAACCCTGTTGACTCACTTTGATCTTTTATAATTTACTCATTTTGGTTAACCTGGGCTTTGTCATAGACAACTTCTTGTTCTTTGTTACCAGTTTTATGTATGCCTGGGCAGCTTGGGAAATCCAGCATCAATGAGCATTTGAGATGCGGGCTACACAATTCAGTTTGCTTACATTAGGTACTCCTTATCCTTCAGTGCAGCTATTTGCAGATGCCTGGGATGACAGTACTGCAAGATTCATTCCGGGGAGTTCTAAGACTGAAAGGTGGACCCACTTTTTAATTTCTACTTACTTTCTTAAAATTTTAAAAATACCCATTGTAACTTTTTTCTTGGAGATTTTCCTATTGTATCTGCACTTCTTTTGACTCACCCTCAATTTGCTTCATGCATTTATATATTTCATGCATTTCTCTGCCTTCTTTTAATTTGCCACATTTGATAAAATCTAAATTTACGGAGTGCTGGGCTTGGTGGCTCATGACTGTAATCCCAGCACTTGGGAAGCTGATGCAGGAGTTTTGCTACTAGGTTTGAGGCCAGGCTGGGCTACATAGTTCAAGACCAGCATGAGCTGCAAAGTGAGACCTTGTCTCAACAGAAATAAAACAAAACAATATCTGAACAATGGAAAAAAGTACAGTTGAGAGCCAGCAGATTCAGGGAACTGAGGCAAGTTAGAGCATCAGATTTATCTTCTTAGTCTTATTTGGGCAGAAGTTAATCTAACCACTTATTTTAAACCACCATTTACATTCTAAATTGCCAGAGTACACTCTGAATATCTTTGATATTGTTCATGATTTCACAGGTAAAGTTCCTCCAGACTTCCTCTGCATTCTACCCCTTTTCTTGAAGGCCCTGAAGAGTAACCATTTCCCTATTAATATTTCATGTTTCTTTTTAAAGGAAGCATAGGAGAAAAAGTGTAGGCCATGGCGCATGGCAGCCTTGTGTTTGGTGCTTACTCCCTTAGTATTGCTGTGTGACCTTGGGAACTTGAAGTGCAGTTATTAAATATCTCAAAAAGTTGTTTGGAGTTTAAAGGAGAGAATTTATTTACGTACTGTGACTTACACTGTGTAGTTACTGGCACAAAGTACTTAGTAAATAGTGGCAGCCACTCAGCTTACTAAAGATTCGTGTGCAAACCCACCTGTTCATACCGCCTTGAGTTAGCAGTGAGAGTAATAGGTGCACAAGAGACCTGGACCTAAACATTGTTAAACTCGTAACCACCTACTGAAGTGTAACGTTGGATTAGCGTATAGTATTTTCTGCAGTGCTGATAATGAGCTGGCTTATTGTATAGCTAGTAATTAACTGAGGGCAGGTATCATTTTTCTGTTCTTATCCTTTATCTTTAGTGCCTGTGTATGATACCTAATTAATGCATAGGAGGTGATATTAAAAATACCACATATAAATCTGTGAAATGAATGTTTCACAGTCAGTATATTGGACTGTCCAATGTGCAAGAAAGATGGATTGACAGTGGGCAGCATCTCACAGCTCAAGCAATATGTATTGAAAGTCTGTCTCTGTTAAAGTATTTTATAACCTACTGTGTGATAAGCATTTCCCTTGTATATCACTTATTTAAAGCCCTCGTGACAGCCTTGTGAGGTAGATATTTCCCTTGTAACTGGGAAGTGTCACTCATGCCCAGTTCCTCTGACTTGAAGTCCAGTATCCAGTGCACTCTCTGAGGTTGTAACCTACACGAATGCTTTAGCTAATATAATCATTCTGAGTTTCACGAAGTCTCAGCTTCTTTTGGTGCTTGTATATTTGTTATGAGGGGTAATCATCTTTTTGTTGTATTTCTATGCAACTTAAAACCATGTGGATAGGGAAACTAGAGACTCTTCTGTCTTAGACTAAGGCAGACTTCTGTCCTTAGTACTGGGGTGAATTCAGGAGTGGAAAAGAAGCCCCTCAGAGTACCTTTTTGTGTATTGGTGCCTGTGTGAGCTTCCACTTACTCGTGGCAGAAGTTCCCTAGAATGTGTCCTATTACAGTCAGGGCATAGATTCTCACAGTCTGGAGATCATAACTGCATTATAATGATGCTATAGTCTTTATTTTCCTGCCTTCCACAGCAGCTAATCTTATCCTTTGGCTGTTATCTTTCCAGTGCTTGACTGTCACTGAAGGAAGTCACATTGAGTGACACTACTAGCATACGTTATGAGAACAAGTCACTTTCTGGTTCTGCTTTATTGCTGCATTTACCTGTCCACATTACTGTGTCCTGATATTTTACAAGGATAGTGACTTGGGGCATACTGTCCTCTTTCCAGAAATATTCAAAGAATCGAGAGAGAAGAGGCTGCCAGGATATCCTCAGGCTATCTAGAAAATTCTGTCAGCATGAACTCAATAAGTCAGGTTCATTCAGATTGTGGGCTGTCATGATGCCTCAGCTCAGGTATTTTACTTTTGAAGGGTCCAGATCCTAGGCACATAATTCCTATATAACATATTCCTGTTGGTTTTTTCCTGCCCTGTTTGCAGACTAGTGCTTTTGTTAGTGGAGCCAGGTAGTTAGTGTGCATGTGGGCACTGAGAGAAACTGACCATCATTTCCTGCAGTTTTGGTGTGATTTGGTCACTGATGTAACCTCTACACCAAATAATATGACTAGGTGTGATGGACTTCTTTCCAATGCTTCTGTGGTTCAGAATGTTGGGAGTATCTTTATGCTGTGATGCCAGATTACTGAACAATAATTTTTTTTTTTTTTAAAGATACAGGGTTCACTATGTAGTTAAGGCTGAACTTGAACTCACTATGTAGCCCAGGGTGGCCTTGAACTCGCAATGATCCTCCTGCCTCAGCCTCCTGAGTGCTGAGATCACAGGTGTATGCTACCACATCCCGCCTGAATAATACATTTTTTCTTAGGCAGGGTTTCACTATGTAGTTCAGGTTGGCCTTGAACTCACTTTGTAGCCCAAGGCTGGCCTTGAACTCACATCAGTCCTTCTGACTTAGCCTCCCAAGTGCCAAGATTACAGGCATGTGCCACCATGCCCAGCCAGTAGTAAACTTTTAAAAGCGGCTTTTCTTCTTTTTTTTGGTATTTTTGTCAACACTCCTCCCACTACTCCCATGCTATTTCTTATCTGTTTCACTGATCACTGTAGAAAAAAAGGAAAAAGCTTACTGTTCTGCTGTTTCTAATTAAGGACCCTGAGATAATCTTTTTATCAGAAAAGCTTTCTTCCCTACAAAATCGAAACACCTGTATTTATGTCCAGAAATATTAAACTTGAGGTTCTGTTACCAGAAGTAGCAGTGTTTTCCTAGAAGCAGTTTAGTGATTGCCTCATTAGTGAAGTGTTTTGTTTGTTTGTTTTGTCTTTTTGAGACAGGGTCTCGCTATGCACTTCAGGCTGGCCTTGAGCTCATTTTGTAGCCCAGGCTGGTCTCAAACTCGAAATGATCCTCCTGCCTCAGCTTCCCAAGTGCTGGGATTATAGGCATGTGCCACCACGCCTGGCTTAGTGAAGTTTTTTTAAATCAATGGATATATATTAAATATTGTATTGTTAATCACATAAAGGAAGTAGGAAGATTGGTCTTATAAGGAGCACTGTAGTATATGATTTAATATTATTTAATATAAAAACTGAAGATGAAATGAGTTACATCTCTTCTAGTGTTTGAAACATTTTGAATCTTTTGACTTTTTGACCATCAGAGCATGAAGAAACCTGGCCATTCTGATGCTGATGTAAAGGAAAATGGTTGCAGATCTTCTGTCCAATGCCTGTTCCTTTCATCTCTTTTTAGTAGAATCTATTGTCTCCAAATATTGAGTGTCTGTAGTAAGCTGATGTCTGTTTTTTTTATAAGACTTTGGGGTCATAATCTTGACTTTCAGATGAAAGAAGAGTTTCTCAAGTGTTTCTCAGTTGTTTCCCCATTTAAAAATGTCTGTGTCACATGAGAATAAGCTATTGTTTATAAGCCCTAACACTGGATGAAATACTAGAAAGAACACAGAGGATTTCGGCCTGGCTTGTCTTTTTCTATCCAAACTTCCTGTGCTTTACTTCCCTCTTCCTTTGTTTCTGTCTAAGATAGTAGAGTAAAACATAGCTTGCTTTACAATTTAAAAATTAGAGTCACACAAAGTATAATCGAGGTCTTATCCTTTCATTTGGATTATGTTATTTAGCAGCCAGTCAACCTTTGTCATATCTAACTTGTAAAAGATTCTAATCATTCAGTTACAGTAGTTGTTTCATTTGCTGTGTGAGCTTTACACGGATGCTTGTGTTGACCACAGTTAAACATTTTGACCAAGAACAATGAAGTGAGTTAGTTGTATATTTTGAATTAGATTTTTTTTTTTTTTTTTTTTTGGGTTTTTTTTCTCCGGTACCGGGAGCCGAACTCACGACCTTGTGCTTGCCAGGCAGGCGCTTTTGCCGCTCAGCTAAATCCCCAGCCCTAGTTGTATATTTTGTATCACTGTAAAGACACAATTGTTGAGCGTGGTGGTGCATATCTGTAATCCCAGCACTCGAGAGGCTGAGGCAGGAAGATTGCTGAGAGTTTGAGGCCAGCGTGGGTTACATAGTGAATTCAGGATCAGGAGCAACCTGAACTACGTAGTGAGATCCTGCCTCGCAAACAAAAAGAAAAAGACGAAGCTGAGCAAGTCCAGCAGCTAGATCATCTGTGAACACTTACAGTATATTTGTATATGTATAAATAAATACACATTAATAATTCTTCTTGAGGCTTCCCATTTTAGGAGTAAAGGGGGCAGGTAATGAAATGAGGGCCTGTGTTGTGACATGTTTGGCAGGGGAAACAGTGCAGGTATCTGCTGTAGAGTTTGCTTGGTCAGAAAAAAGTGTGTAACACTTCATCCTTTTTGAGTGTTGAAACCAGTAGAGAGAATCCACGATTCTTCCTTTAAAATAATTCATTTTTTCTGTTGGGCATTATACTTTCAGTTTTAGCTAATGGCATTTTATCAATGGGAATTAAACGGTTGAATTTGCAACAAGAGTCCCTGAAAATGATCTGTGGTCCCTTTAAAAGTACTTAGGTTGACTCACACAAATGTACTATTGAGCCTTGCTACTGTTTTTAGAATACTGGGAAGAAGTGTTGGTGGATTCTTTTACGTTTTAAGAGAGTTGATAGAACAGTAAATCTGACTTAATTGGGATGGATAAAGTATTATTCCCCAAATATTTGTATTATTTTAAATGATGCATCAAACTGTTGAAAAATTTTAAAAATCCAACCATTTTTTAGTAGTTTAGAGGAAATAAATTAGACTGTAGAAATTTGGATTTAGATCATGTGATATCAAGTACAGGTATTTTTCATTAAGCTGTCTTATGTTTTGAATTTTCAATTTTGCAGCCTTGGGTTATCTAAACCAACTTTAAAATATTGAGGGAAGTCAGACTATAGATACAGCTTTGAACTGCCTTTTAAAAGAAGATATGTGGCATAGTGAGACGCTGTCTCAAGACAAAAAAATTTAAAAAAAGATGTAAAACCTCAGATATATTTTTTGTTATGTTTATAGTTTTAATAGTTTGATTCAGAAAAGAAATGAGAGTATTTCTGTGTAACTCTTAGGTTTCCTTAAAAACTGATCAGTGATCAAAATTTCTTTTTTTTGTCAGTGATCAGAATTTCTTGTATTAAAAGAAGTTGTTATTGTTCCCAGATTTCCCTTCTTTGTACCCTGCCAAAGGCAAATCTGCTGTGTACTTGTTTTGTGCCTTATTATTTTTATACATACTTATTAATAAGACCCCAAATTGTAGGAAGCCATGGTTACTAATTTGTTTACTGGATGAATCCTTTTGTGTTCCATTGTACTTGTGCACAGATCCCACTCTCAGGACTCTTTATTTAAATAATTGCGCACATAATTTAATAAAGAACCTACAGAATCAAATCGTGAAATTTTCTGGGAGTCTTAGTTTACTCAGATACTACTGTTCTTTTTATTTTTTACTGTTTGATAATTTGACAGGAACCCCTTGGTCAAATTGTATCTGTCTTTCTTTACCCCATTTTACCATTAGAAAATGTTGCGATGAAAGATCCTCCGGACTTACTGGACAGGCAGAAATGCCTGAATGCCTTGGCGTCTCTCCGACATGCCAAATGGTTTCAGGTTGGCTCTTTGTTATTGTCTTACTGTTATTCTGTCCTTGTGTAGCCTTCATTTGGAACACCTGCCACTTACACTTACTGGTTTCTGTAGAGTATGTAAAATGGGGGTACTAGCTCATAGGGTTTTGGGGTAATAGAATGAATTTAGGTAAAGTATCTAGAATAGCTGCTATTATATAGTTAATTATATTTTGTTATCATATGATTCTTTTTAGCTTAATAGCAAAAATTTTAAGTGATGGCTTATAAAATACCAATAGAGGCAAGAAAAGCTGTAAGTTAAGAAAGGCAGTAGGTGGAATGGAGTTGCCATGATGCCACGAAAGGAATTTTAATATTATGCTCCTTGTACTTTAGCATCTGCTTTCCGGAACCATAGTTTACTACTTTTGATAACTTGTTTTTTTTTGGTTTGTTTGAAACTGATGAATGACTTGCTAATTAGTATTTATTTTAGAGAACTGATCCATGATCAGTGTGCTTAAAATGAAGAATGGATTTCAACAGGGATATTGGAATCATTTTGTTTGTTTTAGGCAAGGGCAAATGGATTAAAATCATGTGTTATTGTTCTTCGCATTCTACGTGATTTGTGCAACAGAGTCCCCACGTGGGCACCATTAAAAGGATGGGTAAGTACTTAAATATGATTAGAAGTTAAGTTTGAAGTTTTGAAGCTACAGCAGAGGAAATCCTTAGTAATGACATGGTACTATAAAATAACTATGCTCTGAGCTAGCTTAGTGTTTAGCTGTTTTTGCCCTGGAAAAAATACATCATTTTGATATGTGTTTCTTTTGTTATGTTTATAACTTGATCTGTTCTGTCTCATTCTATTCATGTTACAGATTCTGATTTTTTTTTTTTTTTCTGATGAAAAGGTTTTGTATCATCTAGTCGTAATTTTCTAATCGGGTGTGTTGGCATACACTTATAATCCCAGCACTCAGGATACTGAGGCAGTAGGATCTTCAGTTAGAGGCCAATTTGTACTACATCAAAAACTCTGCCTCAAAAAAACAAAACTGCCGGGCGTGGTGGGGTGTGCTTGTAATCCCAGCACTTGGGAGGCTGAGGTGAGGGGATTGCTGTGAGTTTGAGGCCATCTTGGGCTACAATGTGAGTTCAAGGCCAGCCTGAATTACTGTATACAGCGAGACCCAGTCTCAGAAAAACCAACAAAAGACAACAATACAGCATAACACAGCACATAAAGTAAATGTCTTCCTGCCCTCAACTTCATGCTGATTGTTAATTGCTCACTCATTTGTCAACTGCTGCCCATAAAAGCTTTTTGTGTGGCCCATTTTTCTTTAAGTACCTCTTTCTGTTACAGTGGAAATGACTTGAATGGCCTATATAAGGGTCTTATACCTTCTGTAGTTTTTTCTTCTAGGGGAGACATTCACAAATAAGTTCTCATTAGTAATTAAAGTCAAGCACACAATACACTTAAACCACTTAAGGACATAGTTTATGATATATATGGTAGCACTGACTAATTTAAAAATTATTATGCCTAACCCAATTAAGACTCTATCTTAAGAACTGTATAAAACAATGCAAATAAAGTCATGAAGGAAGAAAAAAAGCCATGAAAAATCATTTATAAATTAGAAATTAACAATTGTTACTTTGATAGAGTACTATCAATTTTTTAAATATAGAGACTTGGTCCTTTATTTATTCTAATTACAGTACTTGGCCAGGGATATAGCTCACCTGCACAACACCTGCCTGGCAAGCACAAGGTCCTGAGTTCAATTCCTGGTACCAAAAAAAAAAAAAAAAAAGAAAGCTAATTACAGTACTTGGGACAAGGTATCTAAAATGAAGTCTTATTCTTGTATTGAGATCATTATAGTTTGACTGTTTCCTTAATATGTTAAGTGGGATATGTGTGGGCTGAGTCCATATATTTGCTAGTTATTAGCTATTACTAACTTGTATGCAGGCTTGTTAAAGTTTCATTAAATGAATTAGATTACTGTCATTTTTTTGAGTGACTCAGGGAAACTAAAACCTAAAAATTTGTGTTAAAAAATATCTTCTGAGGATATCTCAGAAATGCTTGGTTTAGCCAGATGTGGCTGAGCATGCCTGTAATCCCAGGGAGACTGGGCAGGCGGAGGCAGGAGGATCACTGTGATTTCGAGGCCAGCCTGGGCTACATAGTGAGTTCCAGGTCAGCCTGAACTACATAGTGAGAACCTGTCTTTAAAAAAAAAAAAAAAAAAATCTTTGCTGAGAAACTCTTGGTTTAAAAACTGGGGTTAAAAAAAATTGATAATCATGGGGAAGAATTAAATGGGCCCTAAATGTTAAATTTACTCACTTTTTTGGCTTCCCCCTGTAGATAGAAATGTCAGCTCACATTTAACTGGACTCCTTTTAACACTTGTGCATGTACTAATTTGTAATTTAATATCTTCTAGCCACTAGAGCTTATATGTGAAAAGTCTATAGGTACTTGTAATAGACCTTTGGGCGCTGGGGAGGCCTTGAGACGAGTAATGGAGTGTTTGGCATCTGGAATACTACTTCCTGGTAAGGGTTTCACACTCTGGAGGCAGAAGAATCAGAAAAACCTCATTTTAGTTTAATTTGTCTAAATATATACTAAATTTGTCCTCTGCACAGGAAAATGATGTGTAAGAGTTACTTTGCTTGGAATTTTAGGAGCTAGAATGTTTGTATATTGGAAAAGTACAATAAAACTTTTTCAATAATTTGTGTTTTATATTTACTAACATAAAGGGTACTAATAAGATACTTTGTCTGCTATGAATTTGCTTTACTTAGAAGTCTGATTTTGAAAATGTAGATGTTTATTTAAAATGTGTGAAGTTCATTCTGTTTGCAGTCTGGTGTTGCTTGGAAAAAGTTAAATTTGGTCCTATTTTCCATTTATAATCCCTTTAAAAGTTTGGGATGATTCACCTGCTGTTTCTAAATTCTCAGAGTAAGGTCCAGTTTTGGTGTTAACGGTTAAGTACCAGTATATTCACAATGAGAGTGTCCCTAAATACTCCACTTAATTGAGCAGAATTTTTATTCAGTTTTCTTTTTTTCTCTCACTTTCTTTTATGTTAGTTTATTGAATTCAAAAATCAATTATAAATGATATTTGTGTTTTTCCTTTGCCTTTGCCAAAGGGGGTCCTGGTCTTCATGATCCTTGTGAGAGAGACCCGACAGATGCTCTGAGCTATATGACTGTCCAGCAAAAAGAAGACATCACCCACAGCGCACAGGTAGAGGACTACGCACATCCATGTGTGATGTCAGAGCTTTATTTTCTGAACTGTTCTATGTGAACACCTTTTTCTTGCATGCAGTTAGAGACTTTTGCTATCATAATAGCTGCATTTAATGGATGTCATTTTAGCTAGATAGAAGCGATTTATGAATGGGTATTGATACTTGATTGAATATAATGTTTTATCCCTTAGCATGCACTCAGACTATCAGCCTTTGGCCAGATTTATAAAGTGTTGGAGATGGACCCTCTTCCATCTAGTAAGCCCTTTCAGAAGTATTCCTGGTCAATTACTGATAAAGAAGGTGAGCATGAAAGTTTATTTATTTATTTATTAAGAAATAAAAGAAGGAAAACATTAACAAACAGACATCCATTTACAAAATAGCATAAGAACAATCCAAACAAAACAGTTACAGACAAAGTTGTAGGAAATTAACCATGGTTGTTGTGTTACTTATTGATATCTTCAAAGTGGTTTCTCAGGAAAACAAACAGAGACATACAAGATTGATCAAACAAGTAATCTTTTTTTTTTTTTTTTTTTTTTTTTTTTTTTTTTTTTTTTTTGGTTTTCTTTTGTTTTTCTCCGGTACCGGGAACCAAACTCACGATCTTGCGCTTGCCAGGCAGGCGCTTTGCCGCTGAGCTAAATCCCTAGCCCCCAAACAAGTAATCATTAATGTTCCTTTCTGTAGAGCAATAGAAGACAGTAGTACAACTATGTTAGCTATCCTGTATGTACATACTTTCCCCTTCTTTCTCTTCTCTTTTCCCTCACCCCAATTGCCCAGAAGTACAGAACGCTTCAAGAATTTGTGTGTCATCCTTGCTCAGGGGCCATGCTAATCTTCTGTATATCGTTCCAATTTTAGTATATGTGCTGCTGAAGAAGTGAGCACAAAAGTTTATTTTTTTTAAATTAGGGTTAAGGGTTGAGTTTTCAGTGATGGTCTTGTTAGAGCTTAAGGAGTTTATTCATTGTTTATCCAAGTCATCTGTAAGGAAAGTTGCTGCTTTTCTTGGCTCTGTCTCCATTGGTGACATCTCCTTGCTATCATTTGTTCTTATTAGTGATCAACTCATTTGGCTTTATTGGCCAGATTTTGTGGTTCCTACGTAGACTTAGGGACCACACTTTGAGAACCCCTAGTCTAAGGAGCTAAATCATAAACTAGGAGGTGACCCTGTTACTGATTAGTTTGATGATCTTTCTCATGTTTGAAAGTGTTAAGTAATGATAGAGAGAACAAAAATATAAAGGAGGAGGAGAAGAAGAAGAATGTGGGAAAATTCTGGACTGTCTTCCATTTGTACTGACTTGTTTGAACTCAGATTAGAGTTTCAGCAGAAAGAAGGTCAGTGTGACCTGGATTCCAAGCATAGCTCTACTGCTGGTGTTGAGGCCTTGAGCAATTAGTTCTTTTTTCTTGGTAGGGCTATTACCGACTTTCTTACTCTGTTCTCTCTTGTCAGGATTAAGTACCTGATTCAGTGCCTGGAAGAGAGTACACACTCAAATGTAAATCTTCTTACTCTCCTCACTGTGCCACAGCAAACATTTAACTTTTTCTCCTTCCTCCCGTGTTATATCAGATATTCCCCACTTAGGGTGCTGTCTCCTCCCACAATTGATTTTATTCTAATAATTCATAGTGGAGTAACCCAGTTCTTGTAGGCAACAGAATTCCAGTAGGTGTTAAGGTGTACTTAGGGAGTCTACAAGATCAAAACTGTTTCGTAATAATAGTGTAAGGCCTTTCTTTGCCTTTTGCACTTCTTCATGATTATACAGTTTACCAGAGACTATCATAGAGTCTTAGTTACTTTTCTCATTGCTGTGACAAAATACTCAACACCCATACTGAAAGAAGGAAGGTTTATTTGCCTCATAGTTGTAGAGGTTTCAGTCCACAGCTGGCTGCTTCCAAGGTAGAGTGGCGTGGCAGAGAGGCATCACAGAGGGGAAACAGTTCTTAGCAAAGCAGGGCAGGAAGAAGGCTGCAAAGCAACAGGCAGCAGCTGTAGCCACAGCAGAAGCAGCAGCAGCCCTTTTTATCCTTTATGTTCGTCCAGCCTACCTGCTTTTTGGGTGGGTAGCACTCTACCCAGGGTGGGCATTTCCATTATCCACACCCAGAACTATGCCAAACCAATCAGTGGACTAATTTATTAATCATACACCCTTAATCCTAGCATTGCACACCCTAGATCCAGCTACCTCTGAAAAACCCCATCTATAGCTGCATGAGGCTTTGAAGGGACATCTAAACACAAGGCATAGCACATAGGGCATGTGATGATATCAGTGCTGTGATGGCTAATGGAATGTATCCTTGTATATTGTTGGGTTTAACAGATTTTAATTTCTATTATGCTAAATATTGGTAGATATTACCTGCAAGGCAAAGCTCTCTGGATTCACAACAGTTTTTTGGGAGTATAAAGTGGTTCTGAGCTAGATCATTGTCTTATACTGTAAACTCTACAGAGGAAGGGATTCTCTAGATTCTTTCATATTATTGTTATAAAGCAGTACTCAGTAACGTGTAGGAAGAAAGCCATTTTCTTTTAGTGTATCTTCACTCATTGGCAATGAAATTTTTTTGGTTGTTTTGGTTTTTTTTGAGTCAGGGTCTCAAAATACAGTTCAGGCAGGTCTTGAACTTATTGTGTGTTTCAGGCTGGTGATCCTCCTGCCCAGCCTCCTGAGTGCCTGGCATTCACAGTGAAATTATTGAAAGGCATATACATGTCCTCATGACATCAAGCATTGTGAACTGAATAAACATTTCTAAAAAAAATGTGTATGTATATAAATTCTTGTTATTAGTAACAAAACTTTTATTCAATCACTGAATTCAATGTGGTTGAAGAATTTAGTGCTTTTTTCCTTCACTAGTTAGTAAAAGTACAGTATATCTGTTAAGTAATACTGGGTTTTTTGCTTTTTTTCTTTTATTGAATCATCCCCCCTGCATCTTTCTCTCTTCCTCTATTCCTCCCCTCCCTCCCCTCCTGCTTTGAGACAGGATCTCACTGTGAAGTTCAGACTGGCCTTCAACTCACAGTGCTCCTCTTCCCTCAGCCTCCCAAATGCTGGGATTCAGACATGTGCCACTATGCCCAGCTTCTTCTTTTTTTTTTTTTTTTCCAATTTTAAAGTTCTTTCTCAGGTGTTTGGGAAGCCCTGGTCTATCACCTTATGAGTAGAGCATAAAATAGAACCAGAGGGTCAGTGTTCTTATTCCGGCTCTGTCAGTTACTAGTTGTATCACCAAGCCAGTGATGGTGAGTCTTTTAGTATTCAGTGATAACAAATAGTCTGCGGCAGCATGGAGGTCATAGGTTTGCCACCACTGGTAGGCTGTCACTGTACTATTTTGTGCCTTAGGTATAAAATGATCTTTCATGCTTTCAGTACCTAGCTTCCTCACATTCACATTGAAACCTTTTCTTATAATTCTTGGCAGTTTTAATATTCATTCAGGTGATTTCCCTCCAAAACTGTGATGTCTCAATTTCTCTCTCACAATTTTCCTGTCTGCTTTACCTCATTTACCGATTCTATGGATGTTCCCTATACTTTGTCTTTAGCAATAACTATGATTGTACTTTTTCTATCATTGTATTTTAAGAATCTCACTTTTCTGGCTTCCTCCATTACCACTCCATCTGGTGCTCATCCCTTGAACTTGCGTTGACTTTACCCTTGCGTCCCTCATTCTCCTCATGGTCTTACTGCTGTCTGTGTCTTGCTTTTGTTTTCTGCCCATCACTGTGCTCACTCCTTGGCATATACTTTTGCTTTCTCGATCCTTTCTTTCTGACAATGTTTAAGATGCTTAAAATCCATCTCTACTTCCACATGTTTGGGGAAAAGCGATCCCTTTATGTCTGTGACACTAACCTCACAGGAACTATTTGTGTTTTCTGACAATTCTCCTGCATGTTTGAGAATTCTTCAGCTTTCCTACATAACTTCTCATATCTACTTCATACAGCCATCTCTGCCTCGTTTCTCATATGTTGGCTTTACTTGCTTCTGTTTTCTCAGATGAATAGAGATCTATAGATAACTGTGTGTGCTCTCACTGCTCTTGTCAGCCAGCCTGGCTGCATCACCTCACACTCTTTGCTTTCCTTCCCTCACCTTGGATGAGCCCTGTGCCTCTGTTGACCAGCTTTTGTACTAGTCCACTTTGTCACGTCCCTTCTTGCCCACCAGTGAACGCTATTCTGGCGGTTCTTTCCTCTTCCCCAGTGTCAGTTTCTCCCCCTCCACAGTCATTTTCATTGGCAGGAAACCTCCTGTAGTATGTTTCATCTGAGAGACAAAACCAAAGGGAGCTCTCCCTTCATATGTAGCTCTCCCAACAAAGTACCATATCTCAGGCCTGCTTTAGAGCAGTACTTTTATTTGATTGATTGATTGATTGATTGATTGATTGGTCTTTTTGAGACAGGGTCTCACTATGCAGTTCAGGCTGGCCTTGAGCTCGCTTTGTAGCCCAGGTGGGTCTCAAACTTGCAAAGATCCTCCTGCCTCAGCCTCCCCAGTGCTGGAATTACAGGCACATGTGCCACCACGCCCAGCTAGAGCAGTACTTTTAGAAAGAGTGACCTATTTCTTTTTTTCATTTCCCTTACTTTCTGTTCTCTTTGAATCTGCTCTAATCAGGCTTTTTTCTTGATCCTGTACTGAAATCTTGCTTGCGACCTTCCTGCTACCAGACTCAGTGATTTGTTTTTATTTCTCATCTTAGCAGCTTTTCACACAGATGACCAATTTTTCTTCCATATTTATTTGATTATGAGGTAAAGCATATAGAATAAATATAAGGTTAAAATATTTTTTAAAAAACATATAAACACCACCATGGCTAAGAGAAAAATACCAGCTCTTTAAGAGTCACGCATGTATCTTGCTTCATTACCTTCTTGCCATTTGAGCTACTATTCCTGACCTTTGGACAATTATGCCCTAGATTTATTTTATAGCTTTTGTATCTGTGTATGCTTTCTTAAATAATTTAGTTTGATTTTGCCCAGAACTTTCTAGAAATAGAACTGCAATGAGTTTAATATTTTTTGTGATTGGCTCCTTTCTATCCAGTTTTTTTGGACCTAGAGAGCCTCTTTGGAGGTTTTACCTGGGGAGTGCAGCTACTTGTATACCCTCATCCGAGGACATGGTCCTTCTTTGTCTGGGGCAGTCGTCCTCTTTGACCATTGAGCACACAGATTCAGGAGGGACACATATGGAGGCTTGAGGGAGGATGGAGACACCCACCTAGCCAGCCAGATCAGCCAAATCAACTGTGGCAATCAGTGGGGTGAAGGATGTTACAGCCAGATCACCCTCACATCCTGTCCAGGTTTTTTGGGACTAATTCGTGGTGCTGCTTTACTTTGTTGTTGTCCCCGGCCCCTTTTTTTTTTATGTAGTCCAGGCTGGCCTTGAATTCACTGTGTTACTGAGTGAGGCTGGCCTTGAATTCACAGTGATCCTCCTATCTCAGCTGCTCAGGTACTGAGATTATAGGTGTGCACCACCATGCCCAGCTTCCATTCTGCTTTTGAAGGGTATTTTAGTTTTGACAACCACCCACAGTGTTACTGTGAGAGGTGATTCTTAAAACTAATTAATTAATTAATTTTTGGAGATATTTCTCACGCGTAGTTCAGGCTGGCCTTGAACTTTGTGTAGCCTAGTCTGGCATCAAACTCATGATGATCCTTCTACCTCAGCCTCTTGAGTGCTGAGGATTATAGGCATGTGCCATCAC